TTGCGAATGCATGGGACAATGCTACGATGAATTGTAGATCAAGAGGTTCCTGACAGTTATAGTAAAGGATTTGAGAAAGTTCACTATATAGAACTCTCGCAACTATTTACGGTAAAGTGAGAATGAGTCCACATGGTATTCGAGGATACGGGCAGCCCCATCACACATACTGAGGAGGACCGCAATCGATTCGCATTCCGCACCCGCTTTGGCCAAAGGCCAGTGAAACGAACGCCGAACAAGGAATTAACCCGATCGGAATCGAGGAATATATTCGTTTAGAAGAAAATCAAGTCTATTTTCACAGTAATTCGGACAAAGCATGGGCTAAGTAACCTAATCGTATTCACTGGCTACTTACTTATTCAAAATATATAAATATATCCACATTATTAGTGTTTAACCTAAGAACAGATGAAAAACGTTGCGAGATACAGTACTCAGAAGTAAGGGGTTATTATCGGTTTTACAATCGATACACGCTAATCACTGATGACCTCGGCGAAAAACTGAATCCTGTCATCACTGGAGGTTATATGGAAGAAAAATCGAACTACCAACTGAAATTCAAGTATTAGTTTTATACAAAAATGCTCTAAGTGAAGATGTTGCACAGTTGGTGACTGTGGTGCAGTATCAGTAAGTGTGCATCAATGCCACGCTTGTGATATGTGTGATAACCCTGTTCCCAGCATGTTTGTACTCCAGTGGTATTTGATATCAATAGATTTGTCAGACGCTTGGCTTTAGTTCCTTCCTTGATGACTTTTCATTAACCGTTTGGTACATATTGCCTTATCGTATTAATCTATTGCTAAATTAACAACAAAGAACAATCAACCAATGTGTACCTTTAGCGCCAAAGATTATAGCGCTTCACTATGCATTGCATGGAGCCGATAATTTCAACTACATACAGCATCGGACAAAATGGAGTTTCGAAAAAAAGTAGCAGTCAAAAGAGTGCGGTGGAAATGATTCAGAAACTTCAAAACAGGCGACACTGACGAATCGATGTGTCCCAGAACCCTTCGAGATGGCCTAATAATGGGTAAGAGTGTGACATAGAGTTTTCCTATTCCTTCCTTATCCGCGTTAAGCCAAAGAATGAGTGAAGAAAGAGTAGGCTCAACGAAGATAATCTTTCTTTGATGTCCTTGGGTTTAGTCTCGATAAGTGTGGATCAATGGCACTACTTGGCTGATATCAATCAGAGCTAAGGGCCACGTGTACCTAATTATCAGCGGATTTTTATCTATTGCTACTTGCCTATGAAATGAATTGTCAACAGTTTCACAATTGGAAATCAGAAAGTACAGGTTGACATCTAACTTCAGAACTGAGGCAAAACATTTTCAAGGAAACTTGCAACAATTCCAGTCATGACAAAGAAGTTTATCATCTAGCCGAAGTCAAAAGACTGTTCGATTGAAGTAACTACGCGTCTTCATATGCCTTTTAGGATAGTCTTGATTCAAAATCAATGCTAAATGAAATTTGAACATACAAACAAACAAGTTTTATTGAACACCGAATACAATTAAAGTATTTAGTACAGATTCAGGCCATTAAGTGCTAAACATTAGATGATGATAGTAAGAAGAGTGAAAGTAGATGGTTCAAATGGGTGAGACAATTCAAAAGCGAGATCGTCAGCTGAGTTTCATTTTTGTTATACGAGAACTTGACTGACCTCTATGCAGCAAAGTTTTCATAATATGCGTAAAGATCACCACCATCATTTTGCAGACCGATGTTAGACAACATCCAGATTAACAGTATAAACATCAATATATTGTTTTCCTCAGTATCGATTCTATATTTAATGTAAATACTATCTACGCATAATCCCTCGAGTCCACATGTCAAAATAAAATTGAAAGCAAATATCAATGACTTTAATGCTTTACTGTTAGCAGTTGACCCTATACGTAGAAGCAAGTAGATTTGCACAAACAGAAGAGACATCCACACTCTTTCTAGACTTCAGATATAGGTGCACAAGTGCATGCAAATGCGCGAAGGGCTAGATAGGATCCACGCCACATTCTCCAGCAAATACCACAATTTGAAAAAAAAATTGAAGAATGGAGGACAAAAATGACGGGATCTTGACACTATTCGACCTCATTCATAAGGAAACG